CCTCCTGCCCCCCCCACGAGCACAGCCCTGGCCCAGCACCTCCCATCAGGAAGAGGCTGGCACAGCCCCTGGCCCCGAGCCCTCCCTCACCCTGCATACACATCCGTGGGGCACATGCCCTCCATGCCTCCTCCAGGGGTGCGTGCCCTCACCAGGCACCATACCATGTACACCCTTCTTTTCAAAATCCTAGAGCTGTCAATGCATGGCATCTTTTGCCTGAGGGTTTCAAATCAATTTACAATCATCAATAAACTAACCACTGCAAACCTCATTTTAAATATGGGGGAAGCAAAGGCACAGGGGGCTGAAGATGCAGTAATGCAGTCTGCAGTTAAAGGGAGTTTGCCTCTCAGTAACTTCTTCCATTTACTGTGAAGAAACGTTTAAGGCAGTTATCTTATGCACTGACCACAATACATATTTATGATCATCGTAACACATGAAAGGACATTTTGCTTAAATATACATAAACTCAAATTTGCAAAAATAAATCCTTAATGAGGAAGAATTTCAAAAGGCAAGAAGGACAGTTGGCTGCTCAGTCCTATTTGAAATCAATGGGATTTGGGTGAATAACTCCTCTTTTGTCTCTTTGAAAATCTCTCCCTGGCACTCCAAAAGGGACAGACTTTATACTTGAAACATGACTTGGCGATTAAGCAACCTCATCCCCTGCTCTTATTAGCCATTTTGCCTCCCTGGTTTTAATAAGTTCAACCTCCCCATTCAGGCTCACATATAGGCATAAACTTCTGCTACACCAATATGAATCCAGAGAATGCCATGGTGGGGGGAACCTATTATCATCTGTATTAAGTCATTTAAAATGTAAAAAAGGCAAAATGAAGCAGCTCCTAAGTACAGTTAATAATACACAAAAATCACCTGCAGGCAGATATTATATCAAACACATTGCATGGAAGCCTTGCTTGGCACAGGGGAGACAACCCATTTAATCTGCTGTAATCTCAGGGAGATATCTGCAGCAAAGCAAGTCTCTTTACTTTAATGCAGCCCAGCAATGATTTCAGATGCATCTTGTGCCAAAATGTCTTACTGATAATGTTGTAATCCTTGGCACTGAATTGTAAAAATGTATGTTATTTTATGTGGAACAAAACCAATTCGATTTTACAGAGACAACAAATAAAACACATTAAATTTAGGTGTGGTAGTTTATCAGAGCATAAATATTTTACACAAAACCTTAGACAAAGTTTTGAACTCTCATGCACTTTTTATATCTTCAGAATTGGGGTGATTAGGAAAGCATTCAAGATGCTTTGGAGATAGAGAAATTAGAAGAGGGAACTCGACCATCTATATAACTGTCTTTTTTTACTGTTTTTATACGCGCGCGCGCGTGCGCACACCC